ATCCCATAGAACCCTTTGGCCAGGACGGAGACCGGGTGGATCCTCCTCTGGTCCCGAATCAACGATCGTGCCAGGCTCGCCACCGAGTACCCGATCGCCCAAGATGTGTATCCCTTGAGGCTTATCACTTCGTAAGCACCACCTAATGGTTTGTTGAGAATAAAATGAATCATGCCATCATTCCTCCGCTTAAATTAAATTTTTAGATTCAGAAGTAGTTTAATATTCATCCGCTTAAGCTTTTGGATTTAGTAGTTTAGTTTAATATGTTATTAGAGTAAGAATCTTGAATTTGAACTCTCCCCTCAGTTGAATTCAGTTACCTATCACTTCTTTGTGAATGTTCTCTAGTGTTTCCTTCTCATATGCGATTTGCTGATTTTTTAGAAAGCTGAGTATCGGCACACCGCCGACGCTTATGCTCGACCACAGCGCCACCGAGCTGTCACCGTGCTCTCCAACTATGTATGCCTGGAAACGTGAACATGTATAGTCTAAAGTTTTAAATATCTCTCGGAATACAAAAATGACATTTCCATATTTCTAGGGAGCTGATATTTCTAGAGTCTAAAGAAATATCAATAAGTATAAAACTATCAGTAACACGAACATAAATATATACCATCGATCCTTTTCAGAAATATACTTTGACAATGACATACATGTGTTTCTATAAATTCATCAACATTTCCATACAATTCAGAGCTCAACATTTCCATGTCCTGTATAATCTCTTTTCCGAGCTTAGAGGTCTAAATATGAACCCTAATTTCTAGAAATGGAAAGATTGTTTTTCGTTCTGATAAAGAGTCTATTTGGGGAAGATGAAAGGGGTTTAACCAGTGACTGACCTGGACATCCTGAGCGTTGACGTCGAGATGATCAGCGATGAGAAACCGAAACCTAGACGAGTCCAGATTCGTTCCCGATCCGATTACTCGATTCGACGGGAAACCTGAGAGCTTCCACGCGACGTAGGTCAAAACATCGACCGGATTCGAGACGATCAGCAGAATCGTGTCGGGAGAGTATTGAACGAGCGGARGGACGATTTTCTGAAACAGAGCAACGTTCCTTTGCAGCAGATTCAACCTAGACTCGCCGGCGATCTGGCGCGCGCCGGCCGTGACGATGCAGAGATCGGACCCGGCGGTGACGGAGTAATCGGTGGAGGCGTTGATTTTGGTTCGGGGGAGGAAGGCAGCGGCGTGCTGGAGGTCGAGCATCTCGCCGCGAAGCTTATCGGGCTTGGCGTCGACGAGAACGAGTTCTTCGACGAGATCTTGAGTGAGGATGGTCTGAGCAATGGCCATGCCGACATTTCCGGCTCCGATGACGGAGATTTTGGTGTGGCGCTTCAGAGCCGACGGCGGAGCGGCGTCACGGATTGGCTTGAAGAAGGCTTGGGAAATGTCGAGGCCGCCGGGACCTAACAAAGACTCCGATGAACTCTTCTGCATAATTCCAGTGGTAAAAGATTCTGAGATTGCGTCTTCGGAAGATAAATTACAGAGAACTTGGCGGATTTTAAATGGCCATTTCTCCAAAAAGGAGGAGGAAGAAGAAGAAAGGGGAAAGTGGAATAGCCGTGGGCAGATTTTCAACGGTCAACATTCTTCGGAGTTGATAGTTCCACTTGGCGCAGTTTTATTGGTCACGATGGGCCCCAGTTCTATTTTTAGAGTTCTATTCTATTCCATACTTTTATAATTTCCAAAAATCTGGAGATCACTGATTTTAAATATTATTTTAGTTTATTTAGATTCATTTTCGACTCTATGCTTCCAAAACATTTGTTTTGGTATTTTTAAACTGGGATCAATTTATTATTTATTTATAAAAACAAATTTTATACTATTTTTTAATACAAATTTATAGCTATATTTTAATAAATTTAGTGAAAGAAGTATCGTGTTAAAACTATAATAAAAAAATGAGGTAAAAATAAAAATAAAATACAAAAATGATCATTGTACAGCCACCAAAATAGAAATTTTAAAAGTATGTATATAAAAAACACATGTTATATTGATTACTTTTACAAATCCTCCCTTTCTTGGAGTTGGATTAAATAATTTAATGAATCGAGGACTTATTTATTTTATTCTGTACATAAAGCTCTTAAAATTCATTTTCTGCTAGCCAATAAAATTATGTTTGGTTAAGTACAAAAGAAAATCCGATTTTCTCTTTGTTTGTCCTCTCAAATTCCCAATTAACTTTTGTAAGATTAATTCAACCAAAAACATGTAAATAGTTGCGCAAGATGACCTGAACATTACAAAGAAAAAATGAAAAATAACAAAACTCAACAATTATTTTTGAAAAAAATGGAAAAAGTAATCTATTCATCCAAATCTGACAAATTATGAAGGGGTTTCTTCATTCTTTTTCAATTAAAAGATAAGAAAAATTGGGTAACCCATTGAAAATAAATTTTTTTAAAGTAAAATCAAACGAGAGTCGGTGGAAAATGTGCAGTGGGGAAAAATGAAAATCATGTGATGGGAGCGAGAAATCCCAAGCAAAAGGCACGAGAGGTTTGAAAGTTGTGGAGAATCGTTTTCCATCAACCACTAAACCAAGAAGATAGAAGAAGCTCAAGGTTTTGAGCTTTGGAACCGTGGGCGGGTTTGTTTACCTCACAATTATCAAAGGTTCATAGGTGGGATATCGAAACAAAATATAAAAAAGATATGAGGAAAAGTACGCTTTTTGATTCCAGAGGTTTGAATCAAGTTTCTATTTGATCCTAAAGTTTTAAAAATGGTTGCTTTTTATTTTATAGTAGGTGTTTCTTTGGTCTCTCAAAGTTTCAAAATGGACATTTTGGGTCCTTAAAATTTAAGAAATAATTCTAAATGGTCGTTTTATCTTTAGTTGACGATTAATATTGACTGTTAATAGTTTTCTCTCTCCTTCTCTTGTCTCAGTTGCCGGTGGGAGGAGAAGGTCTCCCTCTCTCCCTCGTTCCAAATCTGGAACGAAGGAGAGAGGGAGACCTTCCTTCCCCTTTGCAGCGCCGGTGATGGAGAAAATGCGGCGACGATGACAGTGGGTGGGGGTCGGCGGTGGCAGTAGTTAGCTGGAAATAGGAGAGAGATGGAAAGAGAGAGATGGAAAGAGAGAGTGAAAAGGGAGAGTGAAAAAATTACACATGGTCAACTAACGGTCAAATGACCATTTAAAATAATTTCCCAAACCTCAAAGATAAAAAAATGTACGTTTTGAAACTTAAGAGACGAAATAGACACAAACTACAAAACCTCAAGAATCAAAAATGTCAATTTTGAAACTTCAAGAATTAAATAAACACTTTTTCAAACCTCAGGGACCAAAAGTGTACTTTTTTCAAAAATATATATATACACACACGTATATACATGTCATATATATACGTATATACATATTTATATCTATAACTCTACCTATACATATATATACGTATATACATATACATATACAGATAGACGTATATACATGTACATATACATATACACTATATCAGGGACAAAAATGTATTTGATGAACATAATTTCAACACTAGTATAAAATATATATATATATATATATATATATATATCAAAATAACATGATTAAGATGAACATAATTTCAACACTAATATTTATTTATTTATTTATTTATTTATTTATTTATTTATCTATCTATCGATATGAACATAATTTCAAGAGTAATAATTTTTAACTAGGGTTAATAATTTAACTTATTTAAAAAAACGTGAAATGAAAATTTTTTAATTTAAATATTTGTTATGGATTTTTTATTTTTATAATAATTTTTTTAAAAAAAAACCCATCAACATTCCTACCAACATGATATTTCGAACCTTGGGTTAGATGGGGCCTTCTTTGCAATTTGCATTTTCACTAAACTTTAGTTTGTAACAATTTAGATTTTATATTTTTAAATTGGTAACAATTGAATTTTAGTATGTTACAATTTAGTTCTTATAGTCTAAATTTCGTAACAATTTAGTCTCTACTATGAAAAATCTCATCAAAGTTAACTGTCGATTTTTATTATATAAGGATTTAGTCTTTGTAATTTATAATAAACACATTTGTCCATCGATCTACGTATATAAGAAACATAACAAAAAATTTCACGACAGGGACCAAATCGTTACTAACTTTAAACTACTAGTACTAAATTGTTGCATACTAACATTAAGACTAAATTATTACCAATTTGTAAATACATTGACTAACCTATTACAAAGTAAAGTCGAGTTTTCAAATCGTCATTTCAATGAAAGTACAGAAGTCCAGAGTGATTTTCAATTAAGTTTTAATTTGGTTTTCATGGTTTAAATTTAGTTTTGGTTTGGCCAATATGGTGGAGTTGAGCTTGAGTTATCATGTAATCCTTAATTGATCCATTTTTATCCTCTACAAAATTCGCCCATTTTTCTTTTTCTTTTAACTCATGCCTAAACCCCAATATAGATGGCTAAACCAGTCAACCAAATTACAAAACACAAATTAGATATGTGGTAGGATTCCACGAATTGAAACTAAACTCAAATCTTAAGAATCAAATTGAAATTTTTGGTCAATTCAACTAATTAAAAAATATAGGATAAAATATATTTTTAAGATATGTTCTATTATGTTCCTATCTTCTAAAGAGTGACAATTTAGTCTAAAAGATAGTTTTAAAAAATCTTTGGAGTCAAACCTCTGGTACTATCACTCGATGGTGACGTGGCATTAATGACTTAAATATTTTTTTTTAATTTTATACTAATTTTAGCTTAGGTGTCAATTCTTCAGTCTCCTCCTAGTCGAAGCCCTTCCAATTCTGAACCTGTGCCCTTGCCTCGATCTTTTGAACGCCTCCTCAAATTTCTCACTGTATCTCAATCTCCAATACCGAAATTCGCCTGAAAATCACATCATGACATCATCGGAGGGAGTCGGTTCCACCCACACGCAGAGTCACAGTAGGACTTACCGGAACTGTCAACGGAGTTCTTAGTCTCTACCGACGACGACGACGATATCCAATGCCCATTACCTCCCAGAAGTCTCGCACATTGCTGATTTCCAAAACCAAAATTTCTCAAAATCTTTGAAACCAAATCCAGATTCAAAATATTTGGAAAAAAATACAATTTGTTTAAGATGATTTGGTTTTGTGTATATAGAAGACGGAAGAAATTATAACTCATTTATCGTGCTTTGAAAGATTTGGTCTGATTTTGTGTGTCCCTACCGTAGAAGGGAATTGGAACGGTGGAGCGAGGAGGAGGGATGAAGAGAGAGAAAAAAATGAAAATAAATAACATGTAACCTAAAATTAATATAAATAAATAAATATTCAACTCATCCCTGTGATGTCAGTATCCGTCAGTATTTTTTAAGGGTTAAAAGATCAAACTATCACTTTTTAAAACTTAGAGACCAAATAGAAATTTATCGTCAAACTCAAGGACCAAAATGTATTTTACCCAAAAATATATCTCCGATTAAAAATTCATGAATGTAATTCCTACCCTAACATATCTTTTTGTACTAAAAAAAATTGAAACTTTTGAAGATATCTCTCCAATTGTATGATATTGTCCGTTTTAGGCATAAGTCCTCGTGACTTTATTTTTGGAGAAATTGTCTTTCGTTTACATATCCATAAACTTTCTTTTATCTCACCAACAACGTAAACCGAGATTCGTCGACGTGAACGCATGCTTTGTCTTATTAGTGTGAGAACCTTAAATAAACTAACGATAACGTGAGACTTTAATCGCATTCTCAACATTGACCAAATTTATAGTCTAAGTTAATTTTTAGTTGTAATTCAAAACCACTTTCTCAATTATTTATTCAAATTTCAAAGCTTACAAAAAGTAAAACGACATACTTTTGTTGCGTGTCCATTGTAACAATTTATTTTTCTCCTCTCGTTAGTTTGTTTTCAAAAACTACTATTCAGAACAATACAACTAACAGTTGTTAGATTAGAAGAAGAAACAAACAAGGAACTATATCTGATAATGTTATGTAATTAAAAAAAAAAAGAAGAATATATTTTATCTTAACAATTGAGTCCTTCAATTGTGATTTAATACTATATTTTTAAATTGATTACAATTTAGTTCTTAAACTTTAATATAGAAAATTTAGTCCCTATAGTTTTTTAAATTGATCACAATTTAATTCTTAAACTTTGATATAGAAACTTTAGTCTCTACAGTTAAATTTGTGACAATTTAGTCTCCACCGTAAAAAATCTCATCAAAAAATAAAGTGTTGATTTTTATCCTACAAAGAATTAGTTTATGTAATTTATTAAGACAATTGATCCCTCATCGATTTATCGACCTACATATATAAAAAAAAAATAAAAAATAAAAAATTAACAAATATCTTTACGATGAGGACTAAATCGCTACAAAATTTAAACTAAAATGACTAAATTATTACATACTAAAAAATTGTTACCAATTTGAAACCACCTAAACGAAATCGTTACAAACTAAAGTTTAGGAACTAAATTGTTATTTCAATGAAAGTACTGGACCAAAAGTATTTTTTAACCTACTTTTATCTACCATACAATAATTGTCTATTTATAATTTACATTTGATTATAGAAATCAAATCTAAATTTTGATATATTCTTAAACATAGCAGAAATTTTGAAAATTTTACAAAAAAAAATAAAAAAAAAAGACGTAATCCAAATTATTTAAGGGAAAACACACTTAAGTCTGATGATGGAGACATTTGAAAATACATATGAAATTTCCCGACAAAAAGAAAAAGGGACCCAAAAGCTTAAACTAGATTATAGTAAATCTAATTAAATCAAGAGAAATTGATATTACAGGAGTTCGAAGACATGACCTCCTACACTAATAATTAAATCACCAATAAACTCAAGCTAATCTTATTAAGGTAAATTTGATCTTTTACAGCTTACAGGCAGAAAAACAGAAGAAATACCCCACACAAAAAGGGAGGGGGGAAGAAAAAAATATAAAGGGAATATTGAGGATATTGTTTTTTTTTTTCACAAATTTTATTCATTATGTAGAGCTGTACACGATATGAGTTTGCCAGAATCCTTGAACTGTGAGAACAAGCAGCAAAAGGAAGAGGCAGCGAGAACAGAAGAAGAAGAAGAAGAAGAAGAAGATAGCGAGAATCTAAAATATAAGTGTAACAAATGAGAGAAATCTCAGGTCTCTCACAGAAGCCAAGCTACCACCCAAACCCAAATCCAAACGTGTTCTCCCCACTGTAAGTAACATACAGAAATCCATCTTCATCCTTCTTCTCTTCATATATTGCAGACATTATTGCCCCTAAGAACCCAACAAAAAGACAAACAAGTCGTTTGCTCAGGCACATTGGATTACAACAAGCTATAGTTCTTCAGGAGTGAGAGACAACTTTTCATAGGAATACAAAATCTTTCAGGATCTTAGCTTTTTAGTTTGATTTTTTCAATCTAAGGCGAACCGAGAGAGAGGCAATTGCTCCCCCTCCCTCGCTTCGCCATGTAGTTCTTGAGGTCTTGCAAATCATACTCATGTTGAAGTTTTGGATTTAAACACCGATATAGTTATCGAAATTTGTGAACATGTCCTTCCATTGGGTTTTCCGCTGTTTAATAGAACTGGTGCACATGGGGGTTATGTGTACTAATCATGTTAAGGGTAACGCGATATCTAACAGGGTGGCATTTATTGATATATCATACTCGTAGCTTGATCAATATGTTGAGAATTGTTCTGGAAATCCGTTAAACGAACTTGTCCATGAGATGGACTTCTCACTATTCAAAAGTGGTCCTAGAGATATCCTATATATATTATAGACAAAAAGAGGATGTACCTGTAGGAGGGAGGACATTGTCCACAAATATAAAGATCGCTTTCTCCGGGCTCAATTTAATCCTTTTACGGATGACATAAACAAATTGTCCCACAGTAAGGTCAGCTGGAACTAGGTACCTGCAGTCGTAACGTCCAAATCTTAGCTACAGAAAGAGAAAGGAGTAAAGGGGTTGTCTGTTTTCTCCTTGCGTTTTCTAAATGAATCATATGCAGATTGATAACAGAACCATGAGAGAGTACAGAAAGATAATTAAAAAAGACACACACACACACATTCAGAGCAATTAAGGTCTTTTAGAAAGCAGCAATATTATATATTCAGCTCATCAGCATCAATCTTTCCCAAAAGATCTCTTTTTCGAAATTAACTTCACCTTTGATCAAATACAAAAGAATAATAGAATACAACTGAAAACTGCTAAATGAAAAAATGTGTAATTTTTGTGAGTGATCCTTACTTCTTCTTATCAATGCTAGGGATGTCACTTCTTTCTGCCTTCTCCACAATAACCTTGAAACCATAAAAGCAGAATTATAAACAAGCAGTAACAGATAGAACGTCTAAACGCATGCACAAACAAAACTACCAAATGAACTGCCATTATTTTGAGACATTTTATTCTTAAAAAATATTTCTCATCTGCTAAACCAGTGACAACATGAATGACAAGTGTCTGATAACCCCAGTTTTGGGAAAGAAATCAAAGACAACATTATCAATAGCTGATTTCTTTGCTTCCTTACCAAATGATAGACAAAAAAAGGACTCTGACAATAGAATAAAAACGTATTTGACTCCATACTTGGGAGTGAGGAGGTCAGAAAGAACATCAAAGCTTTGGTAAAACAGTATCTGAACATCAATTTGATAATAACCAATAGCCAATCAAATCGAGGTTGCAAAATAAAATCATTTCTTACCGGAATCCTATCAGGGTATTTCTCCCTAATCCTTGCAGCCTCTGCTTTTCTTTTTTCTAGTAAAAACAAACATGGAAAACTTATCAGTTTTTGTCTTAATAAAATATCTAGAGCAAAAGGAGAGAATATTTTGAAACATGGAGTTGAAGACTACCAAGATCATGCTCTTGCTTGAAGTAGCTCTTAGCCATCAGTCCTGGAATTATAATCCACGAAAGTCAGACTCCTTTAGTTTAAAAAGACGCAAACACAGAATTTTGAACAATTGAGAAACTAGCGAGCGGAAAATACGAACATTACAATTAACACCTGATGATAAACAGCGAAAAATCCCCACAATTGACGCCATAAAACATAATCGTGACCAACAGAAAAACCACCTTATCAATTAAAACCACCAACAATTTCACCAGTTCGCTAAAGTCGACAGCCCAACAAACTTTTACGGCTCTCCCAATCAACGAACAACAATAAAAACAATAGAAGTAAACAAAATTGAACACAATCAAACGAACTCAAACATCCAATCTTCACTGGAAGTGAAACAAGAGGCGAATTGATGGACAGAAACTCAGCTGATTTTCAAGTAGATCATGGAATTGAGAAAAGAATAAACGAACATAATCAACGATCATCGACGGAAAAAAGAACAAACCTACAGGAGAGTTGAGCAGAAACTAATCGACGCGCGAACCGAACTGAGTTGAAAACTGACCCAAAAGTCCGATTAACGAAAAAGGAAACTGGTTTCTTTGGGCGAGAAATTTTGCGAGAATCGAGCTTGATTGAATTGGAGATAAAAGAGAGAGAGAGAGGCCTTCGCGGTGGCGTTGCTTCGGTGTTCAATAATTTTTCATATTTTTAAAAGCATTTATCTGATTGTGATATGCAACTAATATATTAAACAAATTTAATAATTAAAAAGTTAACATAAACCCAGCTCGAATGATTAAGTTACATATTTTTCACTCAAATACAGTGAGTTCGAATTTATTTAGTAAATTTACGGTCAACGATTTTTTCAAAGCAAATTTTACAGAATAATAGTTCATAGACATCATCGAAAATCAAGATGATAATATATGAACTATGCTAGATTGACACATTATCAAAATCTTTTATCCTTAAGATAATGTTTGGTTTAAAGTAGGTTACCTCTGACATTTTTCAATTGTAATTATTTTTATGTTTCATTTTATTATTATTTTATTTTTTGAAAAATTTTCCTGTTATTGTTGAAATTGGTTGATAATAAATTTATATGGTAGGACAATGGACTAGAGAATATAAATTTAAATAAAAATTAGGTTGCTTAACAAAAAATTTTGTGAACTCCAGCAAAGAAAGGAAAAAAAAAAAAGACAATTTTTATAAATTTAACGAAGGAATTAAAAATTTTCATATCTTAGATTGTCTAACCTCTTATTTAAATTTTTATCCCTTCATTAAATACGAGTTTCGTGACGTTTGAGAGGAAACACATTTTAAGGTTTGGTTAATTAAATTTAATTTATTTTTTTTAAATCAATTACTAGAAGATTTTGTTAGGTTTTTAATTAAATTTAATTTCAATTTTTTTTAATCGATTATTTGTTTCTTTAAGATTGGGTTAGATTTTTTCTAGTTAAATTAGTTTAACATTTGTTTGTCTTTTTCCTTTTACCAAAAGATAAGAATTAAAAATTTCTAAAATTTAAATGTTTAATAGTAATTAGTTAAATTAACTTTTTTATGTTTTAGGATTTAGCTAAATTTAATTTAAAATTTATTTTTCTTTTAAATCAATTGCTTTAAGATTTTGTTAGATTTTTTAAGTTAAATTTAATTTAAATTAAGTTTTTTTTATAGCTCATAATTTATTTCTTTGTTTTTTTTCTTTATCAAAATGATAAGAATTTAACTTTAATTTATTTAAAAGAAAAATAGAAAATGTCCAATGTCGTATAACTTTTATTATTGTTTTCGACTTTTCTTTTTCTCTCCCACTAACTTTGAATTTACACCAAACTAGAAAATAGTTTTGAACATAAATTTTTTTTTTTAAGGTTTGGATTCAAAATTTTCAATCTACATTTTTTCTTAAAAAAACAACAGATCTCATCTCAACTAATTAGAAGACCAGATCCATATTTTCGACATTTGGTCGACATATCGACGATTAGGAAAAAACGATTTTCTACCCTATGTCAATGTCGAGACTGACATGTCGAGTGAAATTTATAACAATAATTACTGCTGAGTTAAGTTTATATCGGTCTAACCAGTTAAAACTTAAAAACAGTTTTTACGGCACTTTAAAATTTCAACCGACACTAACTAGTTAAATTACTTTCAATCCTCCCAGACACTTCTATACAGATATATCAAACACATCTTAAGTTCGTCATAAAACTTATCATAAGCCAAATTTTAACTTTAAAATTTGTAAAAGACTAAATTGAATAATCCTCAAACAGTTTGAACAAAAACAGTTGTTTACCCTTTAAAAAAACACAAAATTTTCAATATGTACTTGGTTGATTTATAAAGCGTTTAATACTTAATTATTTCAAATTTAATTTTAAAATGTTTTCCTGTTATAAAATTAATATGTACTTTTATAAATAATAGTAATTTAACAAGTGGATTACACGTTGTATCTTAATTTTATCGCATCATATATTAACCTTAGTTTTAGTTATAAAAAAGTTATGAATGAATCAAATACTACAATCATTTTTATTTATAAAAAAAATAAATTATCTATCAAGAGTAAATGAAGTGATTTTTCCGATGTTTTTTGATAATTATTTATTATTTTTAAAATTTAGTAACACTTATTAAAATAAATAGCTCACCATTTATTTACAACAACCTCATGGTTGGATAAACGTGCATTAACCTAACAATTTTTAAATATGTAAAAATATTTAAAATACAAAATAATGATATAAAAATTAACTATAAAATAATCCGAACTTAAAAATAGCAATATTGAAGAACAAAATCAAAGCGATTATCCTATATTTTTGTAAAATATATTTACTTCTTATTGATATTTGAGATCAAATTGACAAATACTTGCAAGATACACATCAACAAATTGAGATTCTAACACGTTTCATATTATACCATTCAACGACCTAATTAAATGTAAAAAATTTAATTTTAAAATTAATTTATATAAATAAAGGCAAAACTTTTGATATTCTTAACCTTTCATGTTTAATTCATTTTATCCACAATGCATTTAAATTTTGTTCCCTAAAAAAAATTATCAATATTTAAAATAAAAAATAATGATATTAAAATTAACTACAAAATAGTTTGAACTTAAAAATAGAACAAAATCAAGACGATTATCCTATATTTTCATAAAATATATTTACTTCTTACCGATGTTTGAGATCAAAATAACAAATGCTTGCAAGATAGACACAATAATCAACAATTGCTAAACAATGCCGCTCTACAACATAAAAAAGAATATTAAAAATGTTAGTATTCTATCACTAAATCTAGAAACCACGATGAACTAAAAAGAAAAAATATGTATAAAAAAACAGAATAAATTAGTGTGAAAATGAGGAGGAAGAGAACCACTTTTACAGTCGCAGAAAGTAGAAAATTATAAAAACCTTTGAGATTCTAACACTTTCCATATTCCACCATTTAACCTAATTAAATGTAAAAAATTAATTTATATAAATAAATGCAAAACTTTTGATATTCTTAACTTTCATCTTTGATTCATTTAATCCACTTTTGTGGTGCATTTAAATTTTGTTTCCTAAAAAAAATCAATATTTTAAATAAAAAATACTGATATTAAAATTAACTACAAAATAGTCTGAACTTCAAAATAGCAATATTGAATAACAAAATCAAGGGGATTATCCTATATTTTCATAAAATATATTTACTTCTTACCGGTGTTTGAGATCAAACTGACAAATGCTTGCAAGATACACAATGATCAACAATTGTTAAACAACGCCGCTCTACAACATAAAAAAGAATATTGAAAATGTTAGTATTCTATCACTAAATCTAAAAACCACGATGAACTAAAGAAATTAGTGTGGAAATGAGGAGGTAGAGAATCACTTTTACAGTTGTAGGAAATATAAAAATTACAACAACCTATGAGATTCCTAACACTTTTCATAATTCACCACTCAACCTAATTAAATGTATAAAAAAAATAATTTTAAATTAATTTATATAAATAAAGGCAAAACTTTTGATATTCTAATTAACCAAAAGAGAAGAGGGATGGATGAGAGAGACATAAATTGAAGAGAATGATAATTTCGATATTACAAAAGAAGTAAGAGTTAATATTGTCCAAAAAATATTTCTTCCACATCCATACTTTTTAATATATTAGTAACTTAACACGTGCGTTACACGTTATAACTTAATTTAAATCTAAGTCAATATTTCGTGTATTTGAGACTATTTTCTTGAAGCATATCTTTATCTCTTATTTAAGATCAAACTAATCGCTAGATAACACTACTTTGCCATTCAAATTAAAAAAAAAAAAATACTTAGTCAATTATGCTCTTGAAGGGAAATAGAAAGGAGAAATAAAAACAAACTGAGAGCTTATGTAAAAGTTTAATTGTGTGTAGAAAAATAGATGAGAGGTTTTTTTTTTTTTTTTTAAAGAAAGAGATGGGAGAATTTTGATATAGTTGTAGAAAATGAGAGGGTGATTGCAGATCTATTATAATTCTAAAATTTTTAAATTTTCATCGTCAATTATTATAAATAAAAATAACGTCATAAATTTTAAAATTAATTTTTTTGCAAAGGATTTTAAAAATAAACTTACAAATTTTTCCTATATTCAAACTTCTCGCCTTTTTTGCATTTAAATTTTATGAAATAATTAGTTTTAATATATTTTTATACTTTTATTATTTTACTATTAAAACGCTATAATTTTTTAAATTTCATCTTTTTTGAGAAAGAATTTTTTAAATTTCATTATTAATTATAATTAAAAATAAAATCATAAATTTTAGAAATAATTTTAATAATAAAATGACAACAATTTTATATTCACGTTTCTCACTTTTTATCAGTTAAATTTTATGAAATAATTAGTTTCAATATATTTTTAAAAAGTTACAGTATTTTTAAATAGTTGGATGATATTATAATCTAAATTAAAGATAAAATCATAAATTTTAGAATTAAATTTAGGAATAAATGGAAAAAATGTATACTAAGATTTTTCACATTATTTTCATTATTAATTTTAAATTATTAGTTTCAATGTGTATTTTAAGTTCTATTTTAAAATTTGTTTAATTACTAAAAGTGAAAAAAAAATTGTTGTCTACAAAAAGTGAAAAGAAAAATTAGAAATCATAAATTATGTTTTGAATAAAGAACATAGAGATGTTCATTTTGCAATCGTAATTTATGAATGCATCTAATTATTAGTTTCAATATTTTTTATATTTTTATATCTTTAAATATTGTTTAACTATTAAGCACTATAGTTTCCAAATTATATTTTTAATTATAATTAGAGATAAAGTCACCACATTTTAAAATTTATAACTTTATTAAAAAGTGAAAAATGAAAAATCACAAATTTGTTTTAAATAAAGAATATAGAGAGGTTTATTTGGTAATGACAAATTTTTAAATGTATCTAATTATTAGTTTAATATATTTTTTATTTTTTAACATTGTTTAACTATTAAAACATGACAAATATTTTGACAATCATGTGGCAAATTTGGGAATACAGGAATAGGGTGGTGTTCTGTGGTGAAAAGCCTTCTTTTGAGAGTATTTGCAGATCAGTTGACAAGCACTTGGGAGAAATTTTAAGCAACGGACCCTCAAGCAATTTAGCAATTATGAAGCAGAAAGAGAAATGTGCACAACCAACACACAAACATCAGTCCGAGGTGATAAATTGGATCCCCCCTCCGTTACATACCTGGAATGATGGTCTCGGAACAGGAGGAATCGGTTGGGTGATTCGAGATTGGGATGGTCAAACTGGGCGTGCAGGTTGTCTCTTTATAGCTGACAAACAAGAGGTCAAATTTTTGGAAACAATGGCTATTTGTGAAGGTTTTAAAGGTTTGAAGGAAGGAGGTTTTTACCCGAGTATAGCTGAATCGGACTCCCTCGAGGTCGTTCGTTTGCTGAATGGAGATGCTGAAGACCTCACTAAGATTCGATGGTTGATCAACGAGGCGAAAACTCGTGCTTCAGACGCCGGTGTAATTTCGATTCACCATATTGCGAGAGTTGGGAAAGACTTGGCTCATGAAATTGCGCGTTGGGCAATGGTTTCAGAGATATCGCTAGTGTGGGAGGCNAGTCTTTTTCAAAAAAAAAAAAAAAACTATTAAAACACTATGAAGTTTAAAATTTAATTATTAATTATAATTATAGATAAAATTATAGATTTTTAAATTAATTTTTAGGAATAAATTGATAAAATGTATATTCAAATTTTTTATATTATTTTTCACTGTTATTTCATGAATGTACTTAAATTATTAATTTCAATGTGTATTTGTACTTTATTTAAAAACTTATTTAATTAATTAATTGTTATAAGTGAAAAATGAAAAATCATAGATTTTAGAAGTGAATATTTTGAATGAAAAATAGAGAGGTTTATTTGGTTGAACAAAACTAACATCTTTTTTATTAAAAAAACATATTATTAATATTCTCTATAAAAAAATCTTTAATAAACAAAATTTTAAATATATAATTATGCTGAATGATATTAAAATAATGAATTATATATATATACCTTTCACCAAGGTTCATGACTCTTAAGCAATACTAATCTGAAAAATTGGAATGTGATCAGCTGCACTAATTAATAAACTTTGAAAATAATAAATCGTGATAGAGAAACATAAAAATAATAACAAACAAAAAAAAAAGTAGAAGAAGAAGAAGGAAAAAACTAAAACCTACCGACAGAGTATCAATTACTAATGTGTCACATTAGCAAGTAAAACAATAATAAATATACTATTTTAACTGCAAATGTATTTTCAAAATTTTTCCATTCAAAAATTTTATTTCAAATTTTTATTATTGATTAACTGTCCAAGAAAAAACAAATATTACCGATTGTTATTCACGAAAAGTTACATTAGGATTTAGGAACAATCTTTAAAATGGAAAGATATCGTTAGCTTTTTATTTCTTTGTCGTTTTCCTCCTTTCCAAAAATATGATTTCAAACCCATCTTTATAAATTTTTGTAAAAAGACAATTATAAAAACAATTTTTTTTAATTAAATAGGTATTAAATATTCGTCGACATGGACATTTCTATATATCTATAGATTATATTAAAAAAAATTGACAAAATATGAAAATATCAACAAAATATCATTAATATATACATAATATTAATATTAATTTACTTAGAGGTAGAAAAAAGTTTATTTGTTAATTTAAATATTTTTTACAATTTTTTATTTTTATAACTTTTACAAAAATATTTATCAACATCTACATTTTATCTTATTGATATTTCTATAACATCTACATTTTATCTTATTGATATTTCTATAAAATTGAGGTTTCGACATTTCTATTTCTACCGACACTTGGCACCTTGGTAATTTTCAAAAAAAGAAAAAAGAATCATTAGCTTTTGGACGGTCGGATTTGAGTGGAATTTCCCGGTGGGCGCGTTTCCGCTGCTTGATCCTTCCAGAAATATAGCGTTAAGAACTTAAACAATTTTATTATTTTAAGTCTTGGAGTTAGAGATTTGATTTGGAAATGTTTATATTTTGAATTTTTTTAATTGAATTAATTAAAATAACGGATACTTATATTTAATTATCCATAAGTTCGTTAATCAATACTAAATATAAAATGAGTGATGGGCAATTTTTTCTCTCTCATCATCTCTTCCTCTCTCTCACGCAACTTACTTCAATTTTTTTTTTTTTCATTTCCACCTTTTTCAAATTAATTTTCTCCCTCCTAATCATGTCAAATATTAGAATGTAATTTTGTCTACTCGTTTTTATGAATTAATTTAAAAAATTATAACTTATTTTATATAATTGATAATGAATTTAAAAAGCTGTGAGAACTTTTTCTTACTCTTTCTCCTAATTTTTTGTTCTCACAAGAACTTAGCATTCTCTATCCTTCAATATGTTTTTATCATTTAGTCAATTTCTTGTGTTTTTTTTTTATATTTTAGTTCGTTGACCTAACATTTAACTTTTAATTTTTCTTTCAATGCAATGTTAATAATTATAATTCCAAACAAGACTTGATTACCTACAATGTTGTTTGGAATTTTGGATTCAAAATAAATGAGAGCGCAAGTGTACACCCGTCACAAGTAGTAAAACGAAACGAGTATTCCGAGTATCGATCCTCAGGGACAAATGAAATCTTTTTATAGGAAATGTTAATGATCGGTAACTTTGTAATTGAATTTGGGATGAAAAATAATAAAGATAATGTTGGTTTTGATATTTAAAAACTCAATATAATAAACTCAGCCCATTTACTTCAAATTAGCTAGAAATACGCAAATTTTTTCCAACTAGGCGCCAGACGCCTCTCATGAATTTTCTTCGGTTTTACTTCGCATCTTCTTATGTCTAAGTGATTTTGAAGGTTTAAGTCCATTCTTAATATGTCTATTAGAAAAAAAAACTTAATTTAGTAAAAATCAACCGCAACCTTAGGTAGAGGTCCTATGTGTAGGCTACCCGAGCGAAATCTTTATGTCTAAAGTATTTCTAAATCAGTAAAGTTGTGAAAACGTATCAACCCTTTCAGTATTGATGCTTGGTTAAAACATTAATTGGCTAAATCAAGTTTCAACTTATGGAAACAACTTTAAATGATAAAATGGGAGAAAAACGCCTTTTGCCTTGTTGGATTTTAAAAACTTTAACTAACTATCCATAAACGAGTTTGAGAAAAATAAATTTAGCTCATGATGATAAAGGAAAAATAGAATTTAATGTTGATGGAAATAAACGACATGATTAAAAGATTAAAACAAGCTAAAAATGGTATAGTTGTAACCCGAATGACTCTAACCCGTTCTCTTTCAAGATTGGGGAGCAATACTCGGTCGATTCCTCAAGGTTGAGTGATTACAACTTCGTAATGAGAACAAGAGAGGGATGAGTAACAAAAAACTTGCTGGAATTTTAATTAAACAAGATTAAAGCTTACAATTCAAGACTAAATAAGGGTGAACTAGAAATAAGCAAGGTTTAAAACAAAAACAACTCAAAGACTCAAAGAGAAAACGTAAATAAGCTGAGAAGGAATGTCTAAAGCTAAAATGATCATTCCAGGATGATGAATGAAGAGAATTAGTTGCTGAATTTATAGGGACTTCAAGGTGGCTAGGAGGTTGAGAGCTTTGTGGAAAGCCATCCATTTCGAACACCTTTTGGTTGGTTAGTTATTGAATTGACAATCTTTCAATGCATGGAAGACACGTGGCAGAGCTTGGGAAGGCTTCAAATCAAACCAAAATGGCACAAAAGTGTAATTTCCGTTAGAAATCAACTCTAAATGATGTAAAAATGTCCTATGTGCATGTATAACCTAAGATAACTTAAAATGAAAGGTTTTTGATACTATAATAAGCTTAAAATACGGTTTCCAAGTTTAAAACGTTAGAAAACAGCACCCATTTAGCTTCTTTTTACCCTTATGAACAAGGGAAATCAAATGTATAAGTAATTTATTCAAATATGACATACTTGTGTGTGTGTGTTTTATGTTTAGGAACAAAAAAGGATGAAAATTCATATTGTAAGTTTATGTTAAATCAAGTAATCGAGGAACATGTTAAGTTGTTTATTCTTGCTTCTTATATTTTACTTATGTTAAATTTTTAAGTAACAACACTTCTCAATTTTTTTTAATCACATCAACCAAATTTGTGGTTGATGATAATTACTGAGACGTTGATTCAACATGGAAAATATAAAAAACTCAGTGAGGTAAACATTGAGAGATAAAAAGAGTCCAATTATATTTAAAATTTTAACTATTTAATTAATTTTTATGGTTTTAATGGAAGCATTAGTAGTCCAGATTCTACTAATGGACCGGATGTCCAAGAGATGAGTACTTTTGACTTTTCTAATTATTCTTTTGGAAAAGAATTCAAGAATCTCTTCGGTATCACAGAGGGAAATGCCGTTAATAACCCTGAAATAATGATGGATCACTCTGTTCCACCAGATTTTAAGGGAGATAATACGAAATCTTCTTCTGGTGTGCAGATTCCCCCTATTTTGCGGCTGTAGGGATCTCCTTGTCCCCTGTTAAATCAAAAGCATGAAAATACTTTCCTGGAACGTCCGTGGAATAAATGGTTATAAGAAGAGACTAAAAGTCAAGAAGACTATTATGAAATCCAATCCAGATGTGGTATTATTGCAGGAAACCAAACTTCAACAAATTGATCGGATAATCATCAAATCACTTTGGAGCTCCAAGGATGTAGGTTGGGCATGTTTGAATTCGAAAGGTAAATCAGGAGGTATTTTATCTTTATGGGATGAAAGCAGAATCGCAGTATCTGAAGTTCTAGAAGGCACTTGCTCAATTAGTATAGTAGTCTCTCTTTCCAATTTGAATAATGTGGTGATAACAAATGTTTATGGCCCAACAGATTACAGAAATAGGAAGCGATTATGGTCAGAACTCAGGGATATTTCAGGCTTTAGTGAAAAATTCTGGTGCTTGGGTGGTGATTTTAACGTATCAAGATGGCCTTCAGACAAATCTTCCGGGGGACGTATTACTAGGAGCATGAGAAAATTTAATTGTATCATTGGAGAGCTTGACCTTACGGAGGTTCCCTTATCTAATGGCAAATTCACATGGTCAAGAATGGGAAACGACTCTATACATTCACTTTTGGACAAATTTTTGCTATCCAAAGAATGGGATAACTTGTTTAACAACTCACGGGTAAGTAGAGTGGAAAGAATAACATCAGACCATTTTCCTATTGTCCTTGATGTAGGGGACTGCACATGGGGCCCTTCCCTGTTTCGCTTTTTCAACTCTTGGCTAAAGAATAAATAGTGCATTCGCCTAATTGGATTCAAACTTTCGGAGGATCGTTCTTATGGATGGGCCGGTTTTGTGATATCAACAAAGCTAAGGAATCTGAAAGCTGTGCTTAAACAGTGGAATACTCAAAATGACAAGATTCATAAGGAAAAAGAATAGAAGATTGTGTCTGAGATCAACGTCATTGATGCCAAAGATGAGTTACTTGGACTCTCTCCAACAGAAGTTGACAAGAGGTGCTCATTGAAGCATGACTTGCTGAGCTTGTATTTGTCGGAAGAACGAGTGTTGCTGCAAAAATGTAAACTCCATTGGCTTAAAGAAGGTGATGAAAACAGTAAGTTCTTTCATAGATACTT